CCAGATGCAATCATCAAAAGAGCCACACCTGGCTCGCGAGCCATAGGTTGCCTACCCCGGGGCTAGGGGCTTCTTAATCGTTGGCTTGCTTTCCTTGGTGCGTACTGTGCCAAGGCAGTTTCGTTAGATACTGATGAATTAGATATGTTACCTTAATGGCTGACCCGGGGAAGAGGGTGGGGCTCAAATTGCATATAACCCGCAACGTTCCTCTGAGTCTGTCAATTAAGACGCCTTAATGTAATGAATAATCATGGAGATGGAGGGATCTGAGTCCGTCTAGACAGATCCGGAAGAATGCGGGAGCAACCCGAATAACGCCCACCGTGCCCTGATCTTGACTTTATGTTGATCCAGCGCATCTACCTTGTCCCGTTTAGGGGCACACGATAGTTCCACCGTCGCTCTCGACGATGTTCACCACGAGCCTCAACAAGCTGGAGGCAGACGCGGTGACTACAGCTGAATTATAGGGACTCACCGGATCTACCTCACTCTCTGGCCACTTCCCCACCTTTATCCGATACAAAGACAAAAACCAATACGATCGGAGTTGGGGGAGGGCGCAGGCGGCTGGCGCGACCAACACTCAGTTTTTGTACCAACAGCACACCTCTATAGGTAGGCTCCTGCTTACGCGGGAGCGACATACACACACACTGAGGGTCGACCGCACTCTGTCCCCACCGACTAGGGGCACACCCCATCGTAAGCCACCTGGTTACAGCTTACACTTTACCAGGAATTTGTATAAGAACCTGGCTCGAATTCCACCGGGTGAAAGGGCCATAAAGGCAACAGTAAGAAGGAACCAATGAAGCCTGACTCGCAGTCAATCAGCCACTCCACAGAAACACAAACTGGACTGACCGCGCGGTCACAGTTATCTCGACAGTAAGGCAACCTTCTAAGTCACTGCTTTTAGCGAGCCGTGCTACCTTGAAGCATGTCATATTGTTTATAGTGAGGAAAGCGCACTGAACTAGTTTACCGCCCCCTGCATCCCTCAAGGACTGCCTCAGCAGCCCGCACAGGCTTACTCGTTGATACGTGTCACCCATTTGGTGCCAAGACGGGTAGCACCAGATGACACATCAGTCATGGCGACAACAAAAAGTAAAGCAGTATGGCATGCATCAACTCAACTTCAATAAGCAGTCGACTCGGGCAGCTCACACCAGGGTCGCCAGGACTCTCCCTGCAAATGGCCCCAGCCAGCACCGAAAGATAAGCAGGAAATCTCCGTCTTATTACTTGAGGAGCTGAATGTATCTAGCGGTCCGGCGTGCATTAAATGGCGGTGGGTATATGAGCAACGTAGATGTTGCAGGATCTGCAGAAGGCGAATGGGTAGGCGCAACTGTTCGACACCATGGAAGAGCACGCTTGTCAATTGTAATATTCTGTTTAGGGGAAGGGAGAGTAAATAAGTCCTTCTAACCCCACTTTTCTCGCGAATTTTATATTCGGAGAGATCTCATTGAGCA